GCCGGCCCAGACCACACAGAGGTACACCAGGAAGATGAGTGCCACGGGGACGGGGGAGTAGACCAGCAGCCATGGGTCCGTCCTCTTGTCTGGAACATTACAGAGCTTTGAGTCAGGGACCATTCACAAATGAATGAAACGTATTACAGGACACACCTCTGGCTAGAATTTTTAATTATAAGAGCTGCCTTGATGTCCCAAAACTTTCAGCACTGATTTACAACACTTGTTTCGCTTAGTCTGCACAGCAATTACAAGTATTTTTGTACTTTGTTTTGTTCCGTTTTAGCTCAGGTGACCTATGTGTGCAGTTTTGTGAATGGAAAAACGTTTTACGATTACAGAGGAAGAAAGCAGGTTTTGCAGTACAATGAAAGAGTCCTCCCCTATCATTACAAAAGTGGCATGATGGCTTATCACGTGACAAGCCACAAAGCAGTCATTGTGAAGACAAGCTGGGCATCACATCTGCAGCTCCCACACACACAAACAGGCTTGTTCTTTCGATTGGGAATCTCTTCTATAAATTCAATATTTGATTCAAGTTCACTGCGAACTAAAGCGAAATGAACTGTTTATTTAGGAAACATCATACCTCCATTGTCCACTATCCTCTGGTGCACAGAGAGGACGCTTTGCCACGCAGACTCCATCTTGAAATATTAAGAAAGTTAATGATCGAAAGAAGAAAAACACTGAAGTCTGTAGCATTCAACACGAACAATCTACTCAGTGATGCGCACCTTGCAACCGGTGTTTCAACGGTGAACTTCAGTGAGCACGCTGGAGAACCTTTGGACACTTACGTTATCTGCAAAATAAGTATTAGCAAAGTTCAACTTTCATTACGCGCTGCAGGCAAATCCGGACCATCTGCAAAGAATGAATGAGGACAGACTGGAGCAACCAGCTGCACCAGAAACTCTGCTGGTGATGCACGAAACCCAAGTAGACTAAACTAATTCACTGCACAAAAGGTATTGCGGTGTTATGTCCCATCTGACTGTCAAAAGACAGTTGAGTAACTACCGACCAGATAAGAATCGCTACCTATTTCGTCGTCGCCATTGGCATTCTTGTTTTTTTTGCGATAGGATCAGTTGGTTGTTACATGTTCAGAACAGCAGGGGGCGCTGTTTCCCGCCAATTCACCATAATAAAAACACAATAGATCTTGATTGGAGGATGAACAGCAGTTTACACGTGAAACCTGGTGTTTGTCTTATTGTGTCTGGGCTTTATTATCCAAAGTTACACTCGCTACACGTTTTGTCCAATAACATTAAATTCTTGTTGCGGAAATCAAAACATTTAATTTTATTAAACAAGTATCTTACAAACTGCTTGTAAAACATGTAGACTGGTTATAATATAGTGATAAAAACATCAACAATGAGGTCACTAGAAATCTAATTAGATAGCTGATTCACTCAAAGTCCATACAGGAACATCAGAGGAGCATATACATATACATATATATATATATATATATTTTTAAAAAAACAGATGTTAAAATAATTTGATGGCACTTTGTATCTAATTACCCGTGATGGGACCATGATACTACAACAATTCCTCATTGTGGCTACATAGGGCTGATGTTTTGACAATAAGGCACATGAGGAAACATCATGAAGGACTTTCAAACACAGAATACCATCAAGATTCCTGTTTAACGGAGTTGAAGAAGGCACTGAGGGAGAGCTGTCTGCTGCCGCTGCAGTTGGGTTTTTTTGAGGTCTGTTGATTCTTGTTATTCTTTGTGCCGGTGTGCTTCTGCCTATTCCCACCCTAAGAAAGACAAAGGATAAAAGGTGGAATCTGCTATTAATATAGGATTATAGAATAAGATACATATGCACGCACACACAAACAGAGGTACACTTACCTTGGAGGTTTGCTCCTTTTGACTGTCCACAGAGTCACAAAGCTTCACGATCTGCAGGAGAATCATCACATCGATCTCATTCATTCAGGCTACACATGAGCAGATGAGGACGCTCACTCACTGCTGCTGTCACGACTTTCTGAAACAAACTCAACTGTCCTTCACATTCTCTGAAACTCAAAGGAAAAGGGAAGAAAGTAGCACTTTTAAAACGGTTAAAGGGGAAACTTGAACTTAAAAGCACTGAAATCCTGTGATGTGACACGGGGGAGCTATACAAGTGTCTCTACACACCAGAAATACATCAAGTCAAGTTTATTGCTTTCGGTCGACTCTTGGTGCGGCGGTTACTGCTAACCTCAGGTACACAGCAGGGCTTCACACACCCACTGGGTAAACAACATAAATACCTTTTTCACTCCTGTGGACACAGCGGCCTCCTGAAGAGCGGACCTGGTGAGCCACTGTGCGTTTTCAGTCGGTGTTTGTGTGTCAGCGTCCTTCAAACACACACTGTGAACCACGTACGTCTGGTGGATGTGGGAGAAGATATGAACCACCTGCAGACAGACAATCCATCAGTGCAGAAAGAGGCTATTCGCATATTAAAGTGTGCATGATGGATAGGCGGTTGACGCCAAGCTTACCTCCCCCACATACTGGAAGAGGCTTTCTGTCAGATGGGTTCCCAGTAACCCGCTGATCTGAGCACACAGAGCCCTCTTCTCCTTCATCCCGGAGCTCTTCTCCCCCTGCAGAAGACTCGGAAACTCCCACAAGCCTGCCAGCAAACCTGTCAGTACACAGGCTGTTTAATAAAAGGACACAATCTCATTTCACTACTTTGTATACTGCTGGGTAGCCTGTGAATGTCCCCCCTGGGGATCAATAAAGCCTCATCTTAACCTATAATAATACATCTGAATGTATTTGTTGATCATTCTGTATTCATGTTATCAATCTCAATCTGTAGAGTAACTAGAATCAAACGTTATCAAATAAGTGTAGTAGAGTCGACTTCATTCTGCAGCCAAATGTCGACGAACAGATTCCCCGCCAGTGGTGGGACACACTGCGGGCACAGACCTTTGTTTGGCCTCTGTGTGAGCAGGTACTCGTCCTCTCCGTCCTCTCCAGGTCTGACCACCACACAGGTCAGAGTTCGCTCCACGCGAGGCGGCTTCTTTGCCGGCTTTCTGGGGAAGTTCTGAACACCCAAGTCGTCGTCCCAGGGCTCCGAGGGACACAGCCGACATGTGTCGCTGGTCACTGAGGGAGAAGAGAAAGTACTTCAATATAACATCGTGAGCTCCGAGGGAGAGAAGAGAGCTCAGGGTACTTACTACAGTCTTCTATGTCGGGCAGGGTGGACGGCTTCCTGTCCAGCTTCCCCAAGAGCTTCCTGGAGTTTTTCTCTTGTTTAACATGAACCTGCACATTTGACATCATCATGTACACCGGGACTTGGACAAATCCCAAACTTTTCACTATGATTCAAAGCATTAATAATCTATTATTATCGATCCTTTTACCTTGCGAAAAGAGTGGCAGTGAGAGCGTACGGGACACTGGCTGCACAGTGGTGCTTTGGGGGTACAGACCCGTGCTCCCAGCTCCATCATGGCTTGGTTGAAGTCCCCGGGTCTCTCAGGGTCCACCAGTGTATTGGCTTGACTCCTGAAATAGAGCAGAAAAAAAACATTAAAAAGCTGGAATATTTGAGCAATTCATCCCTCCTGATTGAATGACGACTTCGTTGTTGAAACTTCAAAATCACTTTAATACAATTTACAAATACTGACTTGGGTTGTAAATATGTTTTTTTGTCCTGTGCATTGATCACATAAAAAGCTGACATTAATTTTCAAAGATCATAATTTGACTCGTCCCAAATCCAGTTTTCTGTTTTATATTTTTGAGGAACAATCATCAGTTTTTTGGAACAGGATTTGTTTTTTTGCATCTAAATATCTTCAAGCTAATAAAATCTTTGAACTGTTGCCTGGAATCATCTGAGACAACACACATGAATCAATCTGTGGAGACTAAACAAAGCTGTCCTTGCCAGACAGACTTTGAACAGGACACCACTGATTACAGTCCGTTTATAAAAGCTAAGGAAAACTGTAAGCAGAGTTCATAATTCACCAGTGCAGAGGTGTGTTTGAGTGTCGGGACAGACATGGATGTTTATTGCATGTAGAGCTTTAAAAAACAAGAACAATCAACAACATCATAGTAACATTCATAGACGTTAACGTAGGAGCTGGGATCAAAATCACTGATGATAAGAAGTTCGATCTCACCAAAGAGCCTCCGTTACTGCAGGACTTGTGCTGTCGGCTCCGATGGCCCTCAGGCGACACAGCACCCGAATCACATTGCCATCCACCGCTCCAGTAACCTATGCAACAGAGAGCTATTCAGTCATAAACGAGGCAGCGGTGCTATCAACTGTGGCCGAAGAGGTTTTTGCTCTGGTCCATAATAGAAACACACCTGACCGAGAGCAATGGAGCCCACAGCTGCAGCTGTGTAGCGTCCCACTCCAGGCAGCTGTTTCAGCAGGCTGTCCACTGTGCGAGGCATCTGTCCCTGAAGCTCCGACGCCACCTACAAACACACAAGTGAGACAATCGACAACCTGCTCCCATATTTCACAATGTTGGTCAATGGACTACATAAGTGTTCTTGACATGAAACCATACCAAGTCATTATTAAAACACAATTCTAAGTCGGCCGGAGCATATTTACTAAACACAACACAAACCTTTTGAGCCCCTTCATGCAGTCTTTTCCCTCTGGAGTAGTAGCCAAGACCCGCCCACATCTGGTTCACTTCCTACACATGAATGAAATCAGTAACTTAGGTTTGAAATCAATACTATTTTAAAATCACCATCATCTTCAGGCTCCTTTAGTAATCACCTCTAGCGTCGCAGCAGCAAGATCCTGCAGTGTGGGCCACCGCTGGGACACAAGTGAAGAGAGAGTTTTTAATTATCCAGAATTAAATGAATTTACAGTTAATGGATCACGAGAATTCCAGTCAGTGTCATGAACAAACACACCTACCTTCATCCATTTGTTGTAATAGTCTATTACTGTGGCAACTTGGGTCTGCTGCAGCATGATTTCTGAAACCCAGACTAAAAAAAAAAAAAAAAGAGAGAAAACTGTCTTATAAGGAATGTTGTCAGCTGCTTAATATGCGTCATTTTGACAAGAAACCATCTTCTTACCTGCATATGTCCTGATGTTGAGGTCTGACTCTGTCACAGCCTGTAAAAGAAACACAAGGAGCCAGACAGTTACAGAAGTCAGCCTTGTTTTGCACTCCCCTAGTTTGGGGAAACAGACTGACAGGAATACCAGCACAGGAGCAAAGCGATAAACTGCTGTGGACGGGGGGCAGCAAAATGTATTTTAGCCACCCAAAAGAAAGGCCCGCCTAAAAGAATCATATCAGTTCAAGTGTACGATTTATTTAGAAATGTTTTACCCTTTACGTTCAAAAATCGGAACTATCCCTTTAATATGACATATTATTATACTTCAACTGAAACAGTCAAATACTGTCAGATATCATCTTTAAGAAAATATATATTAGTTTAATTTACTGTGACTATGTAATCCCTGTTTGTTGTTTTACTGTTAGGATTTGTATTGTGATGAGATTAAAACAAAACTAATGAAACCATGAAATTAGGTGTGATGGAAATCTCAGCGATAACTCATCATTGTCAAATAAAAGAGTGGGTTTCATGTACGCTGTAGTAACCACATCTCTGAACCAAACTCTCTACAACACCTCCTGTACTTTCATGATACATCATTCAAATCTGTCTCGAACAACCAAATACGGGTGTTAAAAAAAGACAAACTTTCTTGTCAAAACCGGTGGAAGAAATGTTTCTCTTCTTTACCAGAGTCCTCCATGGCAGCTCCCTCTTCTCCTTGTCGTACCAGCTGAGGAGCTGAGAGCGCAGCAGCAGCATATCTGCAGGAGCATGGAAGGTGTGGTATGTGGGCGATGGTGAGGAGGCATTCGTGGTTTCTTCTGGAGGACCAAAAACATCATTCTCAATCAAACTAAATGTACTTTTTACATGGCAAATACCACTGATGTTAAAGCAATAAAACAACATAAGAACATCAAAAGATTAGGTGATTATGACACCATTTGACATGTCATTTTTCACAACTGCTTAATAAGTCAGAGATCATTTAAAAATATATCCGAATGTATTCCCTGCAAAAGTGCTGTAACATCATACTCCACAGGATTAATGTGGTCATTATGAAGCTGCACACTGCATTACGTAATTGAAAACCTTTCTGACAGTTTCAAAATAAAATGCAGAAATGTGCGATATGTGAAAATTTAATCTGAGGGTTCAAAAGTAAAATTAGTTCTTACATAAATCTCATGCAGACTGATCTCATGCTGCTTCATATTCGAGAACATATTAAAGTGGATAGATTAGCTAACGCTACCCAAAATGTTTTAGTTAAACAACATAAACATGCAACCTGCCTTCTTTCGCAGCTTTCTTTGACCTCTTCTGCTTTGGTTTTGCCGATTCTATCACCTCCAGTCCGGCTCTCTTTCCTTTAAGCATCGCTGAACGCAACCGGCTCATTTTCAAACTCTGCATGAAGCGACTTATTTCATTTCTCTGCGAACAGCACGAGCGCACTTGTTCACTTCACGGATTCATTTTGGCTCCCGCCACGTTCAATGACGGACGGTCGCTGCTCGTCCAATCCGCTGAGATGACACAGCGGAAGTGTATTGTACGTCATCTCCGGTGGGAGGGTCGAAATAAAAGTAACGTAAAGGCGTTGTGTAAGGTTGTGTTATTGATTATCATTATCATTACGACTGGATTAGAAGACATTTATTTTATTCGTGCATATTAAAAATAAACAAAAGTGGAAAATAATAATAGTAATAATAATTGGTGTAATTAGTCTAATAATTCAGTAAAACTGTATTAAAAATGGACATATAGACAGTAACAGAGATCATTTTTTAATAATAAGATAGTTAAGTCCAAATTGATCACCTTTTAAAAAAATACACAAATAAAAAAAGGTGGACAGCTAATCAGAAAATTAAAATAATTAAACTGTCTTTGAAAAACAAACCAACTAAATTGTATTAATTTGCATGATTAAAATGATTTGTCCTTCCTTTCAGCCTTCAAAGTTGTCACCATCTCAAACTGGAATTCAAAGATTGACAAGAAAAAACAAACAAACAATTATTCCCACATAATACAGACAACCCATGAAAAAAACCAACGTCTGACCAGCCTTAATATGAACAAATAACAGTCATTACCTTCAGTTATGTTAACCTTGTTCGTGAGCAGGATTTCTGCTTGAATTTCATCCATATTCATGTACAAAGTGTCAGCTTGGTGCTGTAGAAAGACGGGCATTGAATCCGTTAGTAGAGCCTTCTAGAAGCTTTCACATTGACCTTTTAACTGAAGCTATCATATCATTTAGTAAGTTATTAAAGCTTACCATAAAGGCTGCAAACAGTGTGCTGCCGATGCCTCTCTGCACATGTTCCTCAATAACCGGGTATGAGCGGACAAAGTGCTGGGCAGAGATGAAAGTATGTATGAAAGTGTGTGTGGGTGTGTGTGTGGATGTACAGTGTCTGAAAGCAGGTATGTAGGCCTACCTCCAAGGCCAGACTGGCTTGTATTTGGGCATCAGCGTGTTCTCTGTTGCCCATAGCGTACAGAAGATGTTGGATCACTCCGAGAGAGAGGAGCTCATGAGAAACCTCCTGACTGTCTTTGGCCAGCAAGCTTCAACACAGTCAACACCATACAAATATATCCTTACTGTATGACAACTTCTAAAAAACGATTACACTGAGGTCATTAAAGCAATATTAATTCAATATATATCTTAGATTTTGTTTATTACATATCACGTGATAAAAACATTACATTTTCTTACCATTTTTGTTGTGTAATAATACATTCATTACATGTATTATAATGGACAAATACAACATACCGTATAGTTTTAGCTGCAGCAGCTTGTTGCACGAACACAGGCAGAGATCCAGTCAACTTGATCCTCTCAGATTCTGATGGGATTGTATGAATCAACTAACTATGTTATGGATTCTTGTTAATGTGACAAATGGGGTCACATCATATCAAAAATGGACTAAATACTAGCATACCAATAGGTGGGTTTTGGGTTGGTGGAAAATTACATATTTTAATCATAAATTGCAGGAATATAAGCATAACTTGGGTGGTCAAAAAGGATATTAAAATAGTACATTTTTAGAAAAACAACACACTTATAAGACTAAAGTATCACCTTTCATATGCATGTGATGCTGCACTTCTTCTTTCGTGGGCCTCAGCAGAACCACGAGTCCATTGAGCAGCAGCGGCCTCATTTCATGACCCCTCAGGTCTAAGATCAGATTTATAGCTGCCAGAGACGTGCACAGGGAGAGAAGAGTGTTAGACAAGATATTAAAAGGTGGTTATTTATGACAGGATAGACAATGGCACAATGGCTGGCAGTTTTATATGTCATTTTAAAGCAGGTTACAGCATACAAACCCCCCCCCAGCCACAGTAAAGGTTTACCACCATGTGTTTTTTTAACATTTTCTCAGCTTACCTCCATCCTGAACCTCCAGGTGCAGGGACCTCAGCATATTCAGCAGAGGTTCCACAATGCTGTGATGGGCTGTTTTCATTTTGGACTGGGAGAGAGGATAGTGGGAGAACTATTTCTACTCATATGTTGAATATGTATCACATTTTTGCCAAAAGATCCATTGTGTGAAAGAGCAAAGTTTGAGGGCACATGCATGCTCTGAGAGCGATGAAAATACATGTTTGCATTGATAAATGGCTTGGTGTGTACCTGGACAGTGTGTACGGTGTGCAGGGCCAGCTGCTGGGCCTTAGGGGAGGTACAAGTCATGAGAGCAATCAGACCTTTGTAGATTTGGTTTTGATATTTGGGGTTTCCATGGGAGAGGGACTCCAGGAGAGCCCAGGCTGTCTCTTGGGTTTCATCTGTGTTTGACTTAGCCAGGCACTCTGCTATGGCTTTCACACCTGCAAGAATGTAACCAAATAGAGAGGGCAAAACTGACATGGCTCGCATAATGCTGCACTGATCATCCAAAGGGTTAATGGAAAAATATTTGTCTTATCTTATCCGCATGTCAGGTATAAACAGAGCTAAAAAAACAAACAGCTACTGCGGTACCGTATGGAGAAGTTTGTATTTCCAGGAAAACTCCTTTTAAAATCAACCAATAGCGAACAAGTAAGTGGAAGATATAAGATGGCGACTGTAAGCATAACATCTGAAAACACAGTAATGTTGTTTTTTTCATTTGTTTATGTATTTTTGATGTTAAATGTTTTATGTGAATATGAAAGGAAGTGTATAAAACATTTTTCTTACCATGGCTTTCACATATTATTTCTTTGTACTTGCGACCAGCATTTGAGATGGTGAGCAGAAGACGAAGGGCCTCTGTCTTCTCCTCCTCTTTGCTCTGAAAGTGGCCCAAGATGTCCAGGAGAGTGAGAACACCTCCATCCTCCAGGAACTCCATCAGGTACTGATCACTGAGGAACGTGAGAAAAGTGGGTCAGAGACAAAAACTGCACGATGAGTCACATATACAGTCCTCTGTCAGATTATGATGCAGCGTTTCATTCCACTTACTGGCTTGATGCAGAGAGGAAAATCCCAATCGCTTTAAGTTGCATTCCCAAGAACGTTCCAAACATGTATCTGAATATTGTCTTGAGGACTAGATCTCAGTTCAGAGTCGATCCAGCACAGGAAGCAGAAGAAAGCCCACTCCCTACAGGGCTGGAAACTGTAAATGTACTTGCGTACGATTTGATTTCAGTCAAAATAAATGAAAACATTTTTTTTGAAAGATGATTAATATTTAGTCTTGCCAGGACTAAATCCCAGAGTAGATCCCCTACCTTATTCACCCTGTCACTATGCATTAAGCTAACATCATAGTGTATGGAACCTAAAGCACAGTGTACAGAATAAATACACAATAATACGCATGTTTAGGATGTGTGTATATTGATAATAATTGATAATAAATATACTGTTTCTATAGGCCTTCTGCTCTTATGCAGGAAGCATACAAAGGATACGTGAGTCTCATCCAGGTGGTGAGTCGAGCCAGAAAGAGGCTGGCCACCTGAGCAAACTCCAGCTCCAGCTCATAAAACGTCTTCCCTGTGTTTTGAGTCAGGAAGGTGTTCAACATGCGGCTGCGGACCCTCCTGTCACCACGGTCCCACTCTCGAAGAAAACCGAGCACTTTGCCGATGTTGGCTGGGTCTGCCTGTGTTGACATCGTGTCTCTTCCTGTCCTCCTCCTCCTTTTATAGTTCCCTTGCTTCTGTCCGCGTTGGCGACCTGAAGTTAAAACTATAGTCTGGAGTCCAGACTGTCGCTGCTCTACAAGTGGTTTGTTACAAAGCTATAACTAACTGAATTTCTGTTATTTTCAGAGCTTGATTTGCTCCTTGCCCTCTCCCTCTAGCTTTGTTTATAGCAGCTGCTTAGCAACACCCTCACACTCTCCTGCTGGGTGGCTCAAGTATTGGTCGGGACTGACATCATCTATTTTTAAAGTATACTCATACTTATTTAAGTATTTTTTTATCTTAATGTAGCCTGCATTATTTGTTCTGTAAGGAATGAAGGAGTAAGTAGCATATAACTTCATAGATATGCTATATTTATTTATTATTACTTATTTATCTATATAGTTAATTCATATTATTCTATTTCATGGTATATATTGTAAGAGTTCAGTTTGTCTCCTGCTCTACCTCAGCACACAGCAGGGGGGACATCAGGTATTTACATTACAACAATTGATCAGCAGTTTCAAGCTCCCCATTGACACCTCCAGTCATCCCCTTCCTCTTCTGAGCCTTGTCACACAAAGACATGTGTCTGTGTTACCTTTGATTATCTCTGGGAATCTTCACACCTAAACATTCTCTGGTTAAACTGCAACCCCCATTTGGTTACTTCCCCTTATCAAAAGCAAAGGCAGAGATAACCCATATGGTCCTGTTACCACTCTCCTCAGTACACAATCATATGTCACATATAGTTTTGTTGGTGAGTAAGGCACATAAACTAAATCACAGTAGAAATGTAGCACACCTATCACACCTTCCAGTGCATCTTATACAATATTCAAATGCAGTGGTGGAAGAAGTAACCTTACTGAGATTAAAAGTACAAATACAATAGCCTAGAAATGCTCTTTTACAAGTAAAAGTATTATTGATATAATTGATTTAGTATTATTGATGCAAGCTTTAATGCAGTTGGTAAATGTTGCTTATTTATTTGAACTATATATACTGCTGGGTATCTTGTGACTTTCACAAGAGATCAATAAAATCTATCTTTAAATAAAATCTTTATCCAATTAAATACACCATCATTTTTTTTATTGATTATATTTTGTTTGTTAATCTGAATCTGCAAAGTAGCTAGTAACTAAAGTTATAAAATAAATGTAAAAAGTACAATATTTGGCACTGAATTGTAGTGGAAAAGTATAAAGTAAAATGGAAATGAGCAAGTAAAGCTGAAACCTTCAATTGGTACATTATTACTTTCCACCACTGTGCACATCAATATATACATCAATATTTATTTTCTGGATGGATGGATGGACGGAGTGGCAGGCAGACAGACAGACAGAGAGGTGGCATCAGATTTCAACTATTTTCCTGGGAAAGACCCCTTTTGTAGGTGGTGATTTCTGGAAAATATCTGCTGTTTGAGTTTCACTATTCATTCGTCACAGGCAGACAGACAGGTAGACAGACAGGCAGAAAGACAGACAGACAGACTGACAGGTGGCAACAGGTTTCAACTATTTTCCTGGGAAACACGTCTTTTGTGGGTGGTGATTCCTGGAAAATAGCTGGTATTTAAGTTTCACTATTCATTTCTTCGATGAGAGGCCTTTCTTCAGTTCACCTCGTTTTGGGTTCTGGTAAGTTCATTCCTATTTTTAAAAAGAATAACTTGGGCATTTTTTAACAAATATCCTGACAATCGAACTTGAATCCAGAAACGTAGTGATGTTGCTTGTTTTCCTTCTTTCCCAAGTGCACTGCAATCACAATGAAAGAAAACACTTTCTTATTATTCTGCATTCTTTTCGTCAGCTTGTCTGCTGGTGAGTAAATTGTTCTTATCATGTGGAGTTGTATAACATATGTTTACTGTTGTTTTTTTTTTACGTTTAATCCCAGTTCAGCAAATTTGCCTGCTGTGGGACCAATAAACGATCATTTTATTTTATTTTACTTAAACAGCGAACAAAAAACTACTTTTCACCCAGAAACCTCCCAGCCTTCCTCTCTTCAATGCATCCCACCGCCACCCATGAGACAAATAAATATGAACGTTCACTGGCTTAACTTCTTGAGTGAATAAACAATATTCTCAACAGCAATAAAAGTGGAAGTAAGATACCTAAATCACTCATAATTTTATAATAAATATTCACTGTATTTTCACAAAAATATGACTATTTTAATCACATACATTAAGAATGTAACTGACAGAATTTGGATCTATTCACTTTCAACTGCTATCGAGCCTTGTTGTGTAAATGAAAGTAGAGGAAATACATAGTTCATGAAGGCAGACATTTGTGTGTGTGTGTGTGTATTTATTTACACTAATTACATTACATTTTTCTTTAGGTGATGAGGAAGGTTTTGTTAGGCTGAGTGGCGGTCAAAATAGCACTGAGGGCCGAGTGGAGATCTTTCATGACAGAGTTTGGGGGACTGTGTGCGACGATGGATGGGACATAAATGACGCTGATGTAGTGTGTCGCCAGTTATATTTCCCTGGTGCAGCAGAAGTTCTATCGTTTGGCGCCGGTAATTCATCTTAATTTGACACTTCCGATGAAAACCTGTAACCTTTAATTTATACATTTTATTTAGTGCAAGTGACTGTTTTTACTCTGTGATCGTTTGTTTTTTTTGTTAGGGGATGGCAGAATCTGGATGGATGACTTAGACTGTAAAGGAACAGAGAAGAGCCTGCTCCAGTGTGTCTTTCGTGGGTGGGGGCTTCATGACTGTGGTCACTCTGAAGATGCTGGGGTTAGATGCCAAAATGGTAAGGCAACCGATGTTGATTCTAGTAGTATAGTTAGACGCAAATTTCTCTTCATAACAAAACCACTCACTGTGCCAATATTGATCTCCAGTAGAGCCCGAACAACTCAACAGGGATCTAAGACAAGAGTACGATTTGGACCACGACGCAGGCCTCTCTCATCAGCTGGGGGAGCTGTTTGACAGTGGACGTGACTGCGACTTGAACATTACAGTGGCGGAGCACAACAACACTTTTGAGACAATCTGTGCTCACAGCCTCATCCTCTCTGTGAACTCACTCTTCAAAACGTCACAGCCGAACTTCAGCAACCTCAGCATTGAGGCCGCCTCTAACTGCAGTCAGCACGCCAACAACTTTGTCAGGTAAAAGCAAACTTGTGACTTTTAAACTGCCGCCTGCACTGTCATGTAAACCAGTACAACTCGCACTGAATACGAATTAGCTGAAACATGCTAATGAAAATGTTAAAATTTCAGATACTTCTACACAAGAAAGATCAAACTCAACCGATCTTCTGCCCATTGCATTCTCAAGATGGCATTCAACTGGGGACTGACAGAAGTTCAGAATGAGGCTGCAAATCTTTTCAGACTGTTTCTTCCGGAGGATCCCACTTTCCAGACTCAGATCTCTTTCTATGAGTATACAGTTCATACGGGCGATGAGGCGCTACAGGGGGGTTTGTCTTCGCTACCTTGCGTGGAACTGTGAGGCCCTGATCCATTCCCCAGTCTGGACGGATCTTGCATTCGATCTGGTCAAAGCTCTTCTGTCTCGCTCAGACCTTGTGGTGCATAATGAGACCGTCATCCTGAATGGACTGGAGAGCTGGGCGGCTGCCCAAGACAACACGACTATTCCTGAGATCCTTCTGAAGCTCATCCGTTTCCCACTGATACCAGCTGAGGACTTATACACACTTGACGGCTCACAGTACCATGCCAGCCAGTTGCAGGGGTTTCAGTTTAATGCTCTCCCCTACGCGAAGCTGCTCAATGACCTGAGGGAAGGACAAAATGTCTACACACCCAGGATTTACACTGGCACGCCGTGGAGCTTCACCCTCAGCTACCACATCATCAAAACTTACAAGGATTACGGGTCCTACAGGTTTAATGGCCAGCGCATCAATAGTCTGACATCTGATTTCCAAACACCGGTTCATAACAGTGCCTATTTTGCTTTTAGCAAAATGAGCTGGAAAACAAAGGTATACATCAGTGATGCAGATTGCTCAAGTGAAAGTATCACTTGTCCTTCTTTGCCAGCTGTAAGTTTGAAGGTTGAGGAAAAGAACAGAGATTTGCCCAGTGAGATGGAGGGACGCATTCGTCACAGCAATAGGCTCGTTGTTATGTGCGAAGGAGGTTACGTGTTCCACGTTCAGGAATTTAATGCTGGTGATGGTGAGAATCTTGTGTTTATTCCAAGCAGCGAAAAACAAATCTATTCATGCCGCTCAAAGCTGTTCTCCTACCAGGTGGTGGTTCGTCCTCACTACTCAACAGATTAGTTTCTGTTTCCTCTGGGATCTAAGGCAAAGAGAATAAGGACAAGGATGATTTATACTCATGAATATCCTTTAACTTTAACTATAAAAAGTATTTTTCACCAAAGCTCACACGTTTGACCACATCAATAAACAAGGGGTGGAGGAGGATTTGTATTAAACCTCATGAGATTCTGTCTGCACATTCTATACACTGTAAAAAAGAAAATAAACTAGATTAAAAGATATGTACACATGCAGTCTACTGTAAAACTTAAAACAATTTCATGTAAATTTCACATTTTTAAGAAAACTTAATTAAAAAAAAAATCTATGATGACAATTTTATATATATTTCTTTTGTGCCATTTTTACAGTTTTATTTGTGTTTTATATATCCTTTTAAAGTCCTTTTCAAAATAAGGTCATTTTACAACATGACTGTATTATTACAAGTGATGAATAAAAACAATTTTAAAAAGCTCTTTGTTGTCTTAGAATGAATGTATTTCATTAAAAGTATGAGCCCGGAAACTCGTTTGAGCTTTCATGTTTTCTCTTCTAAACACAGAAAATCATGTCAGAACCACAAACATATCTCAAAATATTGAGAAACTCCAAGGTCTTCTAATCTGTGCGACTGGACAGCCTGGAAACACTGAAGGTTGCATTGACCCTTAAAAAATGGGGAGAGAAGAAACATGTTTAGGGAGGACAAGTGTTGTTGCTGTTGCTAGCCTGACGTGTAAATAAGTTTAGACTTTGACTCCCGTGGTATTAAAAAAAACACAAGCATACCTCAAAAAATTTAGACACTACAAGGTCTTCTAATCTGTGCACCTGGACAACCTGGAACCACTCACATGTCAAAGAATGCATGAAGGTTTTAACCCTTTCATTGATCCAACATGGCCGACAGTGAGAGCTCCATCTCATGTAGCCTAACATTGGCCGTGTTCATGGTGGTAAAGATTCCCGACAGAGGTCATAGGTCATAGACACACACTAAACCAAACATCCCACAATTCCTAAAATTTTAATCTGTGAATGAACCTATGTCACACTGCATCTAAACTCTTCACTTGAGATTTTAACTGTTGTTAATGTGTTTGCCCCAGGTCCAATAACAGGTTAATCCAGCCATGTTGTTACATCTTTAAGTATAAAACATATACAGTAGGATTATTGTAGCTACAGTCATACTGTGAAAATAAACCAGTAGGCATAGGCCAATCTGTCAAACATATGTTACACAGAAACTGGATTTTCCTCTCAAATGTAGGCTACTGGAGTAGAAAAAGTACACCACGTAGAAGTACATCCAATTAGTACTTTAGTAAATGAGCGTACTTACTTTCCACTACCACATTATTACCACATTACAGGAGAACGTAAGGCCTATTTTGAGAGCCAAACCCATGCGGTTGTTTCCTGTCGAGTGAACACAGTGCTGTTTAACCACCAGGTGGGAGAAACAGGAATTGAACCCAGTTAAGACACTCTGCTGGAGGTTTGCTGCCCTCCGCAGGCTGCTTCCCGGTAAATGCGCTTCTTTTTTTCCGGAGATAAAGAAGGAACATCTCGGTGTAGTGAAGAAAACCCCAGTATAACATAGTACAATACGGGGTAGCGTCGTATTATTACACCACACAAACCACCAGCCTCGGCTACCGTGCAGTGCGTCTTATCTATAAAGACACTATAATCTCCAGGATGCACTTTTAATCTGCCTAAATGCCAAAATAGCGGCTGGCTCTGGCGCACAGGGCGACACTTCATCTTTCCGGAGGAAACGCAGATTAATCGCTACATTGTTTACATTTTAATAGCAGTTTGGGACATTTCCGGCCACTCTAGCCGATTATTTGACATTAATAATGACAGTGTGGTATTGTTTAGTCTCATGAATGTGACAATAATGGCAGACAGACCGGCATGGCGCGTCGGACTGCCGTTCAGAAGAACACAGGGAGAGTGACAAGGACGGGGAGAGGGAGAAAGAAAGGGGAGGGGAACTGACATTAAAGCAACACAACAAGGAAACTACACTGCGGAGCCACAGACGCCTTCATTTTATGTTTTTGAATAATAGCCGGAGCTAGTGTGGCGAAGTGTATCTGTGAGGTCTGACCGGAGCTCAACCCCCCTTTGCACAGCCTCAAGTGCCCGGAAAAGGAGCCGCTTTTTGACCGAGTGGGATTTAAAGGCGCTCTCCGTCGCTTTCAGAGACATGGGTGAGAATAAAGAAAGAAGGGTTTAATTGTAATTCTGAGGGAAATTAACAGAGGTGGTGGCGGGGGGCAGGCCTCTTCTTGCAGAGAGAGCCATGCTCTAATGGGAGGTGGAAACAAAAGGCCAACCGCGTAGCTTAGCCGTAATTAATGAAATGCAAATTTAGATTATCTTTTGCCTATTTTGGCCCCTTGAGATTCTTTTATCATGATATGGGGCTGCTATCATTTTAGCATTCTGCAATTATGAATGATGCTGGCTACCATTACAGTGGAGCTTTCATTATAAAGTCATTATAATTAAAATAATGACAATTTGCATTGGCTTTGTTCCTGATGTAGCTTTGCTATACAGATGTTAAACTGTTAGCCAGGTGCTGTGGCTAATTAGGAAGCCTTTGAGTGATATGACTTTTCACAAGAGGCTGTTCGATGAGAAAACATCCTGGACATGCATCACAACATGCCACGGGTTATGGCTTTTAACATTAACTTTACACCCCTCTGAGCATATTAGGATCCATAGATGTTTCTGTGTGTGTGTGTGTGTGTGTTCTCAGGCTCAGAGCCACCCAGCTCTCCACAGGTGGTGGAGGATGGAGGAGAGGAGGATGAGGAGGAGCTGAGTGGAGGAGAGGAGGCAGACCTGCGGTCCAGCTCTGGCCGGGGCTCCCTGCTGACCCGGAGAGGCATCACCCTGAGAGTGCTGCTCAAGGATGGCCTGGTGGAGCCGGGGGACGGAGTGCTAGCAATCCACTACCTGGTAATAACACACTTCACAGCTGGACACAGTACGAATGTCGTTATTCATTATTTATGCAAGTGTTGTGTCACATGAGGTTACACTTGTTATTCATGTAACCTGACATGATACACTGGCCGTGAATCGCACTAAGAAGTGGCTTTTAAAAGGAACAAACCAGCACACACGTCTTGTTTGGTTTAAAAATGTCTTTCCGCTCTGCTCCATCAGGGTAAGAACTTTGTAGGAGACCTGTTGAATGATGGGAAAATCAGGTGGGTGGAGACGGGCCAGATCTTCAACTCCCCCAGTGCCTGGGCAACACACTGCAAACGTCTGGTCAACCCAGCCAAGAAGTCTGGCTGTGGCTGGGCGTCTGTACGCTACCGGGGTCAGAAGCTGGTCCAGTACAAAACCACCTGGCTGCACAAGTACCAACCCAGCGCAGACATGGTGAGAGCAGAGCAGAACTTTTTATTTTTCTTACTATGGTCGGTGTATAGCCTCAAATATCTGAGGCAAAAATACTACGATGAGCAGTAGCAAGTTTAAAGTGTGTCGAGGTCAAACATCCACATTTTAACTTAAATAATGAAGAGACCAAAAGCTGCTTTCTGCCAAGAAAACATAGCTGTTTCAGGTTCAATGAAGGAATGATGAAGCCCAAATCAGACGAAGCGTTTAAACTGATTTTAGAGAATACTTGAAACAAGTTGATTGGAAACATGAAATATTCTTGTTGTTTTTACTCGTTTTAAGGACGAAAGACTTTAAAGACTCAAGTTATTCTGTTGTACTCTGTATCACATCTACACCATCCAATGTCTTACATCATGTTTATTCCTGGTGATGCCAGAGCCTGGTGAGTGAGGAGGACGATGATGAGGATGAAGAGGAAGGGAAGACAGCTGTGCAGGCAGATGAGAAGAACAAGAACAACAAACCTGGATTAAATGGTAGTAATTCTCTTCTCATCATGATTTCTTTTTTTTTTTTTTTACTGTTTTAACAAACAGTAAAACTAATGTCCATCTTACAGATTTGATGGTTTCACGGAGATCTGACCGAGAGAGAATCCCTGTCAGATACTGCACCTTGGGAACCAGAGATGCTGCCAGGTACTCACTTTTATTCTGAAAGATCAATGAATGTGACCACCAGGGTGATGGACTGTAACTGTTATCTTCAGAGATCCACACACACTCGTGGAGCTGTCGGCCTTCTCAGCCATCAACAGATTCCAGCCTTTCAATGTAGCCGTGTCCAGTAATGTACTGCTGCTGATGGTGAGTAACAACCATATCTAAAACAAGGTGATTGAGTACTGCAGCACAGTTAATGGACCAGGTTCCCTGCTGATTTATCCTCATCAGGACTTCCACTGTCACCTGACCACCAGTGAGGTGGTGGGATACCTCGGAGGGCGATGGGATACGAATACACAACGTGAGTAAGATAAGAAAGTAACTGCAAGACATATACAGAAGTATGAGGTTAAGGCCATCTTTAACCCCCATCTCTCTGTGGTCGATGTCTTTCAGTCCTCACAGTCTTAAGGGCTTTCCCCTGTCGGACCCGTCTGGCAGACAGAGACTCTGCTTCTGCTGTTGAAGAAGAGGTAACACACTGACATACCAACCGTGAATCACTAGTCTGCACTAACAGCATGTATGCTTTAGAAAGGATGAAGCTGAATGACACCCATTAAAAAACAATTCACAAGGTCCCTCTGTGCCGCAGGACGCTTCAGCAGCCGGCACTTGTCAACATGCATCTGTCTTTCCTAAAGCCAGAAACAAAAGAACCGGCTCTTGAATTTCCATCACTGGAAAGGTTAACACTGACTGCAGTGCCGAGTGTGTTAACCCCAAATATCTTTGCGTTTCTGCTGTTGAGTTAGGTTTGAATACTAGTTTGTTTCTGTTAACAATCTTTGAGTTTAAACTCAATTAAAAAAGGAAGTTCCAGCTTTACAATAGTGTTTCTAGATTACCAGCACTGACCGAACTGTCCTGGAATAAAGCCCTTAAAGGTACAGTGTGTAACATTTAGGGGGATCTTTTTTGCAGATTTGGAATAAGAATCCATGTGTTTTTGTTACCTTTAGAATTAGCTGTTTATATCTACATACGGAGAAGGTCCTCTTCAAAGAGCCGGCTGCCATGTTTCTACAGTAGCCCAGAATGGACAAACCAAACACTGGCTCTATATAGGGCCATTTGTGTTTTGGCGTCGGCCACTGTAGTTCTCCTAAACGCTTTGCACACGGGAGAAGTTTGAGTTGGATGCAATCTGCAACCTCACAGCTAGATGCCTCCAAATCCTACACACTGCAGCTTTAATATAAGATATAAGATTCCTCAGATTTGCTACTTCATAGCAACACACATATATTTAAATATATAAAAGTGGATCAGTATCAGAATACGGAAGAAATATGCAAAAATTGGAAACTTTGCAGTTAAAAGCCGAACTGGAACAAAATTCAGCTGCAAAGTACAATTTAGGGCTTTAGAATTAGAATTGATCCAGTTATTACTGAGCTTCGATCTACTTCTACTTCTATCACTTTTACTGGAGTGAAACAACATTCAAGGAGAGGTAGTCTAATCAGCATCTGTCATGTGGACTCTGCTCCAGATCTGTCAGAACCTGTTCATGCGTGGGCTGTCGTTGGTGGGCTGGTACCACAGTCACCCGCGAGGTCCGGCTCTGCCGTCGCTGCAGGACATCGACTCTCAGATGGACCATCAGCTGAGGCTGCAGGGTTCAAACAACGGCTTCCAGCCCTGTCTGGGCATCATCTGTGGTACGTGTCGGCCTTTACACACAATATATATTGACTATATTGAGGTGATAGATAAGGAAAACAACCTTTGCTAATATCTCTTCAACATGGAGCTTTTTTAAAAAAGCCACTTTATTGATCCCATGCAGGGACATTAAATAATATTGCTGAAATAATACTACATACATGACAAAGCAGGAGATACAGAGGATCCATATTCTACAGTATATGCATAGTAATTACAAAAAGTGTCAGAAATAGTGACCCACTAGAATAATGTGATGGGGTAAAGTGAAGATAATAATAATAATAAAGACATTTTTTACTGCACTACTGTTTTTGCAAGAAAACAAGGTAAAACAAAAAATATCATCCCTAAAGAAACTGCTCCACAATGATTGTAGCCATATTGTAATAAATGCCATAAAGAGACATTTATGTGGAGACTCTAAATCAGAAACAACATCCAGTATTTACCACGGCATGTGAAGGCATCATCATTATCATGAACTGTGGTTGTCTCATCAAACTTTCTGACCATCAGGCCTCTAAGCGCTCAACTTTCTTTTCTCTTTCAGGGCCGTATTATCACGGCAATCAAGGCGTGGCGTCCACAATAACCCCCTTCTGGGTCGTACCGCCGCCAGAGGTGAGGACTACTCTCCTTCTTATTTCACAGCTTTCTTACTTAGTTTAGTTTAGTTTTTCTTCTTCTTAACGTATGCATCATTTGCCTTCCTGCAGCAACGGCCTAATGACCACGGCATCCCAGTGGCGGTAGAAGTCACCTACGTACAGGACAACTTTCTCACCAGTGATGTTCTTAATGAGATGGTACAGATACCAAAACACCAGAATACTGCGGAGAAACTCAAATCGGCGTGAAGCCTTTTTCCTAAATATACTGTAAATCATTATTAAAGGTGTTTATTTCCACCACAGATGCTGCTGGTTGACTACTACAGGACCGCTCCCGACATCGTCCAGTTCAGCCAGTATTGGTGTCCTGATACGACCATGATGGACAAGATCAAGGTAGGGTGATTAACAGAAGACCTTCAATCACAAAATGGACTTTACCTGGACAGAGAACAAGTGATGGTGATCCCGGCACTCATTCAGGACTTCACACGGCCTCCTGCGTTGTGAGCCATCCCACCTAACTTGTACAACGTTCTCTCTTCTTCCTCAGGGCTCTCTGAGTTGCCACGCTCCCAAAGATCAGGCCTACTGTCAGATCTTAGAGCATGTCTACAGTCAGCTGAGCTGCACACACTGAAGGGATCCGCTGTGCACGAAGGCACAGCGCTTCCGTCGCAGGTCGTTCCATTTCAAAGAAAAAAACAAAACACTTTGCTTGTGCAGAGCTGACCGGACCGGAGTGACGGATGAACCATGTTTTAAAAAAAAAAAACCTGCTTGAAAAACATATAGATGCCTTGAATTCTCTCATGCTTGAGTAATTTTGATACAGCATTATCGTGAGTTTAAGAGAAATATACGATTGATACTCAAAACCAAACAGCACCAGATCAGAGAACACAATACCAACATTTTTCAGAAGCATTTCATGGACCAGAAATCTTCCCTATTGGACCTATGTGCCTATCTGTGCCAGTATCCTGAACTATGAGCAGATATGTGTACAATGTAAACTGTTAATGTGTTGTAATTGCCTTTATAGACTAAACCAATGGAGCAGTAGTTGGGGGGGGGGGGGGAGAATGAGTAGTGAATAATATACTACAATAGCAAAGTATGCAAGTGTGTCTTGGTTTGACCTGAACTGTACTCTGCAATAAGTTTTGTGAACATGTTCCTCAAGTGAAATTGTGTGCGTATGTGTGTGTGTGTGTGTGTGTGTGGTGAATGTGCCCCTCTACTGTCTCCCTGTCAGGTTATGTGCGACACGAGTGCAGACATTTGCTTCCTCTTTATCCGTACTGTATTTATTACGAACTGTGGATTGTGTGATGTACATGTATGAAGACAGAGCAATGCCTTAAGCCTGCTGATGATCCACGAAGCATTAAAATATACACACTGGAACTATTTAAACACGCCTGGTAGTTCTTCGTTGACTTTGTTCTAAACGCAACACTGTCAGTCATCCATCCATCCATTTTCCTCCACTTATCCGGGGTCGGGTCGCGGTGGCAAATATTGCTTTATATTATTAGAATTAATAACATTTTAATATTTATAGTAAATACATTTATATGAAAAACTATAGTAAAATAATAAATAGTATGATCCATTTTAGTTTTTATTATTATAGATATAGCAAAATGTTGCTTCTAGAACAGCAATGTTTACAACAGCAAAGTCCCTAAATAAACTCAATAAATCTTAATAAAATAAATAACATTAAAAATAGTCACTATCACTTGTTTCCCCTCTGCTAGCTTGAGGCTAAACACATCATACTCCACTATAAACATTTTACATTGTTTACCCAATTTAAATGTTCTTAAATATTCAAAGCTAGCCATGATGTCAGAAGACCACTCATAACACAACAATAACATATCTTCCTTTTGTTTTTATTGTAAGAAGGGGAAGGGGGGGGGGGGGGGACAGGACAAGAAGAAGCACGTACAAATACTTTGATAAAATATTGCGGTTAAATTCTGTACTCATACCAACAGTAAAAAGACAACTTAAATCTAAAGACATACATTTACAAGGTATAATATTAGACTACATGCAAAGATTAATTTAAATGTTTTACGGTCTGGTATATAAAAAATAACACTATAGAGAGCCAGAATGATTTAATGCTGTTCAAAAAAAACCATTTAAGACTGATTAAACAAATACATAGCCCTTTAAAAACAGAAATCAGTGGGACATGTTTTCTTTCAAACATGGATTAAAATCTACATAAAAATGAGTTCCGGCTGATAAACCTCACATTAGTCGAAACAACACATGTCCAGGAAACTGCCTGTAGTGTCATACCGGTGCAGAAATGTGCACACGTCACGCATTTCATCTTTACACAGGAAAAGTGCCAACGGCTAGAAATGAAAACCAAAAAGTAGAAAAGACATTTTCATGAGCATACTCTTAAGTCGCTGGGTTAGGTTTTGGTTGCTGGATTAGTTGCGGTACTTTTCCTCCTTTCTTTTCCAAAAGGCACTAAAACAAAGCTATCAAAGTCTGTATTTGATAACAGTGTGATCCAGACAGCACCTCCTACAGTCCTTTAACTTGGCCCTGAACTTGATACAAGTATTGAAATGTAGTAAGATCAGAGATGTAAACATATGAGACAAGGACCAAAGTGTTTGGCAGCGTGGAGTGATGGACAAACACAGAGAATTCAAAGTCAGCTGGACCGACGATACGCGTTTGGTAAGGATTCATGTTTGGCAACAAAAGTTCTCCAAATTAGTCAAAATGGACAAAAGCGTAGGATTATTTTTTTCCCTTGATGTGTTCCCTTTCCCTCCAGGTCTTTCCTTCATACTGTACAGTGTATGTCGGATTAGACTCCAGCTGCTGGTGTCATCCAGGACGAGAAACCAGCCTCGTCCTAATAGAATAACTGAACAGGAACGACACCTCAGCCCGACGGACTGACAAATGAATTGAATCAGAGCCATCGTGAATCATCAAAATCACAGGGTTAGAATAAGTTTCAAAGCACAGAGGAGTTTCACATTCTCAAAGACACAAGGGCAGACAGGAATAGTGGGACACTTATCGATGACTATGAAAGACTGACCAGCAGCGTCATCTATTCAGGCACTGAATAACAGGCGCCTAAAACGGGTCGAAAGACCGAACAAAGGAAAAGGCTGAACATGCGAAGACAAACGGGCCTTAAACTAAATGAATATATGGCTATGTTACAGAATACTTAGTTCAACAAACGAGCGAGATGTTCCTATTGCATTGGATAAAGACTTTTTGGCTCCGTCTCCTCTATTGAACAGACTAGCAGACGACCACTAAACAACTAATCATTCTGTGTCTCTACACAACAAACACACGCCTCCCTTGAGTGACAAAAAAGGTGCAACGTCTGCATTTAACTTTGGGTCTGTGTGTAATGGTGGAGTACGTCACACACACACACATCAATCTCATTTGAGGACCAAGGTGCAATTACAACATCTTCTGACATATTCAGTAAGCAGTTGTATTTTTACAAACTATTGTAGCAGGTCGAGACTAACGCAACTGAAATACTGAAACCGTACGAGGACAGCAGTGTGTCGAGCCTGTTGTCTTCTGAAGCCATCAGCTCAGACATGGATCTTTAAGAAGAGCATTACAAATAGACCCACACCTGAAAATGGTCTAAATCTGGGGCACATTTTGTCTCGTTTCTCAATGTTAATGCAGTTTTTTTTAAATTTGAGATACAATTAGTTAAACTACATATCTAGTCGTGTGTGGTTTCATTTTAGGGAAAAGAAGTTCTCGGTCTCGCCAGCAGGTGGCATCAAGAGACGAGCTCCAGTTAGGAAATGAAGATAATATTCAAGTTACACATGGTGTTTACTGGGAGGTTTGAGTTTGAAACTTAACAGTTTGAACTGTTGACCCATCTGAGTTTCAAACAGACTGCAGTCGCACAAAACGGATGATAGGGAATCACCAGATTTCATACAAATCATATTTACGATATCAGAAATTTGAAATTAAAAGACAAATATTGCTTGTAAATGTAACAACAGTTAGTCCTCAGGAAATGTTTCTGACTGCCAGATAACGGGCGACGACATGTGGTGTCCATCTTGGATTCTTTTACCTTTGGGTGGACACAGGTGGATATTCTGGTCTGGACTTCTTCCTCCAGAACAAAAAGTGCTCGTCTGTGATGGTGACGTCGGAGCCGAAGGTGAAAATGAATATTCTGCGGACCAGCCCTTGGGTTCGCTTTCCTCCCTCTCTCCTAACTCTACTTGCTCTCTCCTCTTCCTCCTCCTCCTCCTCTTCCTCCTCTCCATCAGTCTCCTCCTTAGCTCTCTTTGTATATTAGTGTGGCAACGCAACAAGGACCTCAACATAATTGAGAGGGAAGAATCCCGACTGGCTGTTCAGCATGCCCTCGTACCAGTTCTCGTCGATCTGATTGGTCAGGGTGATGATGTCGCCCTCGCGGAAGCCCAGCTCTCCCTCGTTCTCTGGATCAAAGTCGTACAGCGCCTTACAGCACGGCTGCTCCGGGGCTGAGGAAACACAAGCCAGGGCAGAGGGAATTAGGACGATGACGGCAAAATAAGGCAAACCCCAAAAATGATTCAGGAAAAGTAGTCACATTTAAATACGTTTATATACGTTAGCATAACATTAGCATGTGGTGCAGTCAGATCAACCTCAACACAGCATTGCATGCAGGCTCAAGAGTGCTGACAAGTTGAAACCACAACCCTCCTGTGACCAGAGGTCTATGTGGGACTGTCCTCTTCCCTCTATCCTTCGTTTGCTCCCTCCATCCCGTTCTCTGTGACCTCACAGAGATCAGCAGAGGAAGAGAGGGGCTCCACACACACACACACACACACACACACACACACACACACACACACACACACACACACACACACACACACACACACACACACACACACACACACACACACACACACACACACACACACACACGCTCGGCTCTTTTGTCTGCGAACAGTTTTCTCATTGTATTGAGTTCACCCCACAGACAGCCGGGCCGGCTAGAGATGGCGAAAGCTTGGGTCACTCGCTCTCTGTAGCAATTTACAGCGGCAGAAAAACATAATGTGAAAACACCTAATTTAAAAAGGACCAACTCTGAATCAACTCAATGACAATTACAAACGTTTCTCTAAAAAGTAGATTGTATTAGAATAAATGCAAATTAGTGGAAAGTTCCCTTTCTTAAGAAGTCTAATGAGCAGTTTGATGAATAGTCAAAATCCTGGTAATTAGCTTGTAAGCTAATGCGGCTCACTTTGCTTGCGATGTTGATTTAGTTGCTTCGAAAATAATGGCATTATTAATTATTCCTACAATAACCAGTTATAATGATCAAAACATAGATGAATACATGGATTTATGTGAAAATATTGATGGTGCTACTTTAAACTGGCAAACTCGTTAGCAAACAACTGCCGACAGCGGTTATGAGGCAACGTTATTATTCATTCTGTCAGTTTGGTGCTGAGCACGCATGTAGAGCCTTTTCTTTAGCAGCCGTCTGCTGCGGCTGAAAACAACCAGCATGAGAGCGGTGAGAAGGAAGCAAAACGTTTGGGGTGCAGGATATTAACAAAAATATTTCTTATCCGACTACTCGATGGAATGATCGGTAGAATACCTGATTAGTAGGATAATGGAAAGCTGCAGCCTCTACTCTGTACGGTGCTCAAGTTAATGGGTTAAAAACTATTCGTTTACACATGGACACACAAAAACAAAGATGACACATGATGCTCCGCGTATTATGCAATATGGTGGTGAGAAATAAAAAGCAGGAAACTGTTTTTTCCATTGATACAAACAGCTTAAGGGCGACTGTAATATTACACTCTATAACTATAATACTAACTGGAATACCACGACAAATAATAATGAATAACTCATAATTCTAGCACCAGCTGCTGGTTTCTCGCATGTTAATAAATACTCCTGCTATTGACCAAAACACAGGCTTCATAACTAACTGATATAGTAATAATATATAGTAATATAGCATGAGGATATGTTAGATAGTCGTTTAGAATGTCAGGCTGCAGTATCTAGACTACATTATGTTGATCTATTACAAAACCACACACATGACGTTAAAGTATGCGTGCTACACAAACCACCAATTATTTGTCAAACCTGTGAGAAGCCACTTGTATCCTACTTCCTACATTTCACACCAGAAGCTGTGCAAGCACACTGGACCGTTTCACGACGGCAAGAAGAGGAAAAAAAACACAATCTGTGACTCACACAATCTGGGTTCCTGAAAGGACAATGTGGCCGAGTGAAAAAAACGGCTCTGATGATACCGCAGGAAAGAGGAACAAAGCCAGTTGGAGAAACGCCAGCTAGATGACATGACAGGGCAGGACACACACACACACACACACACACACACACACACACACACACACACACACACACACACACACACACACACACACACACCCCAATGCAGAAACAGACGTCCTATTTTTCATGGAAAACAACTGAGTCCAATCGACGACAGAAACAACTTCTTTCACATATTTGTGCTCAGTGGCACTGATTGGTTGCAGGTCTTGAGCAATCCTTCTGGCGATGCGGAGAGTTCCTTTTCCAGCTTAGTTTCTGTCAGACTTCTGAGGAATGTGTTCAATGCAGGCATGCTGTTTTGGCTCAGTCCATCTTGTGTGTGTAGAAACAGCTGGATGTTTTTTAGCTAGGAGCCCTTTTTGTGTGGCTGTGAGAGTGACGAAGCTAAATACAAAATCCGGCCTCAGAATGAGTTTGTTTTGTTCTTTGTTTGTCCAGACAGCATCTGTTCTCTGTTGCACTTCATCATTTTGACATTAATAGTTAGCTAAAATGTATTTTACTCAAATGTGTGTGGTAGAATTAAAATACGCTGATCCTTACTAATGCCCCGGCACATCAGCTGTTTTCTTACCTGAGTTGCGTGAAGGCGGAGGGGCCATTGAGGTCGAGTAGCCGCCATTTGATTGGTTGTCGTCTCCGAAGTCAAAGATCGGTTTGGGTTTAGGTGTGTATTCACGTCTTGGTCGAGTCTGAGCATCATTCATCCTGTTCATAAAGACAAGTTGATTTAAGTTTTTTGTAATTCCCAAAACTCTAAAATAAAAAAATAAAAAAATAAAAAATGTGTTTCAAGTTACTGCGACTGAACCAGAAGCAGACTATAAGCTGCACATTCAAAATGCACTGAACAGTACGTTGGTATTTGTGTGCGTTAAGTCTTATTACTGCACCTGTCTTTGAGTTTGTCAGAAAGCTCCTCCAGCACCTGCACAGCCTGTCTGTGATACTGCAGCTGGGACTCCACCAGGGATGAGAGCTGGCTCACCTGCTCTATCTAAACACACACACACACACACACACACACGATAATCAGTGTCACTTTGCTTAAATTACTGTATTTTTCATTCCAATGGACAAACTGTTTATTCTGGATAAAACGGGTCATAAACACATGCAGGCATGCACTGCACCTTTAAGATACATTACCATGAAGCTGATATATGATAAATAATTCATATTTCTTTGACTAAATCATCTTAACCTCATCTCATGCTAGTAAAAAGACCGTGGGTTTAGATTTTTTTTGTCAAACTACTATTTCCAATGTCGATAATGATCTTTCATGCTCAAATTCACAGATACATAGTATTTAAAAAGTCATAGGGAACAACATACAATGAGGCTGGAAGTAGAGAATTAACAGAACATATGGAACAGACAGACTTCCTCCAGGTAGCACTGGTCCTATTCACAGTCAAGCAGCTCAAAACTAAACCCTCAACTGCTGTGCTGCAATAACAAACAAACACACAAATCCCTTTAGATCTACACACAATCAGATACATGCTCTAAGCTGTGTCTCCTCACATTCCTAAACCTGAATTGCAGCTATTTAGAGACATGTTTATCTCCAGTGTGAGTGCTGGCTAAACAGCTCCGTAGGTGTAACTATCGCTGTGTGTTTGTCCAGTGGGTGTGTATCGAATGGCAGCAAAGGTGAAGCTCAGTGAAGCTCGACAACTGGACAGAAAACTGATGAAATGTTTAACATGATACGGCAATATGCATCAGTTATCCTCTGAAATCATTGAATAGATTCTTATATTGCTGCAAGGACCTCTGTGTTTCATATTTCATGTTCATACCTGACGTTTGGATGTAGTTACCCTTTATATTGTAAAGATGGATCAGGATTAAAATTCATGTTTCAGAGGACAGACACTAACACCGCACACTGAACAGTAATAAATCAGTCCTCACGTCCGTCTCCAGCAGGTTGTACATGCTCGTCTCGGCCACTTCCTTTGACTCGTGGAACTTCTCCAGCGCCTGTCGGAGCTCCTCGTCTGGGATCTTGCCCTGACGCTTTTTCTTGTAATCGTAGTCCAGGCGGCGGCCTTCCAGCTTCTTCAGGTGATGCTGAGGTGGTTTGGGGG